CATACACTTCCCAGCAGAACTGAATGCTGCTGTGGGACTTCATAGCCAAAGCCCAGCTGTTAACTCACGCTAGACACAACTGGAACTGCAGTCCACAGGCACAATTGTGAAATGAATCAGGATTAATCCTACTGAGGTCAATGAAGATCAATCCACATAAAATTGATTAAAAGGGGAGCAAAATCAGGCTCAGTGATTGTGAATTGATACCACAGTTGGTTTAGGCTTCATATGAAAGGGGTGAGGCAAGTACCCTGTTTGCTTAGACAGTGAAAGAGTTTTGCGCTTCAATAATAATAATAAAAAGCCTAGCTCAAGCAACAATCAAAGCCCTTGTTCCCAAGTCATATTACTGAGCACTTTACATTTCTAAACCTCTGGGACCACCTTAGCTAATCTATCACCTTTGCCAGTAAACCTCTTCTTTGCCCTATTGCACCCTCTGCTCACACTTAGTTTTTTCCTACCCCGCTGATCTGTTGAGCCACTGATAGGGGCCTCACCAGTGTGCCCATGTGCGTGCTGCAAATCCAGTGTCCCTGGATAGATCCTTCCAGGCATGGAAGGAATGCATTCAGAGCCCAGGCACTTTGGCAGCACTCCTGTGGTCCCTGCCGTAGCATCATGGGCTCAGGCTGCTGCAGCTCACAACCGGCTGTAGCAGGCCCAGCCGCCCCCTCCCTGCTCCCCAGGGCCGTTCCTGGAGCCATTCACTCTCCACCTTCCCCCACATACACCACTGGGCACAGGACTGCACCTGCCATGGCAAAGAGTCCAGGTGGGAGCTGGGGGGCATTCTGGCACCCTCTTTAAGTCAGTGCCAAGAGCTGGTGCCTCACTGCCACTGCAGTTACGCTACTGCTTGCAGGGTCTTCGCACTGGACAGCACCTTGCATTGTAGCGCTGCATTGTTCAGACCAAACACAGCTGGTGTTTTTATGACAGCTGGATTTACTCCAGGAAGAATGACCAGCCTGAGAAATTGAATCCGAGGCCCAGGAGGATTCAGTGGGATGCAGGCACCTGTCATGATTCACAAGGCAATTGCCAGGATCAGAGCATTAGTACAGGGGAATGGAGGCTGGTCCACCCCTGCACAACTCAGGCTCAGTGACAAGAGCTGAAGTTCATCTGACTCTGTCCCCTACAGCAGCGGCTCTCAGCCTTGCAAAACTCGAGGCACCGCTTGGAAAATACATCTCTCGCAGGCTTCATTTGTTTCTTTAACTACAAAAAAACCCAGAGCGATTCTTCCCCTGCAAAGAACTCGGCGAGACCACGGCGGGTCGGGAGGTCTACAAACTAGGAATTCCTCTGTGAGCTCTCCAGGTTTAATCCCGCCGCACATGTCTGCACACCTGACAGCTCTACCCTCGCATTCTCGCCGCCGCGCCCCGGCGGAGAATCGCTGCCCTGGAGGGGAAAGCTATGAAGAAAATCAAAGCAATATCCTACTGCAACCCTTTACCTCCCACGCAGCACAGGGAGCTCGCTCCCCAACCCCTTCTTCCACTCATGCGCCCCTCGGGGTCCAGCCCCGTGTCCCTCCTGAAGTACAGAAAGCGAGGGCGCCAGACCCTGCGGGGCCAGCGGCGGTTGCGGCGGGGCTGGCTGGGGACCGCGGCGCAGGTCGGTGGGCATCGGGCTCAAGGCAAGCAAGTGCTGCGCGGTCCCACCCAGCCCCTGCCGTCTACGCGCCA